CCAATACTGCTACGTGCAGCTCATGTCTGGGAATTCATAACATTTCAATGGTGCTCTTTAAGAGCATGCGTGTAAACTATAGATACTCGTGGTGGTCCTTTCCTTTGGTTATCGGTCGAACCATAATCAAGCCATCCTAGCGGTGTTTTAGCTGCGATTAGGATTGCATGCAGATATGCACTTTTAACGTTTTTTGGCGTGTATATATATAATAATAATTAAAACAAAATCCCGTTTACTTTTCTCCAAAACTTCAGCGTTATGGGCGTTATGAGCGTGTCACCCTGCTGAAATGAACTTGCGCTGCGCAAGAAGCTCGAGAATCTACATGGCAAGTCTTTAGCTTTTGTAGTCTCCGAGATCTCACCGTTTAAACCGACCGGCAGACAGACGGACAGGCGGACATGGACAGATCGACTCGGCTAGAATATATATAGGATCGGAAACGTTTCCATCTACCTGTTACATACACAAAAAAAGGACGAAACAAATTTTCTTGAACATTTTTCATAAATCAAGAAATTTTTTCATGATTTGGCAATAATTCGTTCGCTATGTTCCGTTCATAAAAAAGGAACCCTGCGTGGTCAAATCATGAACATTTAGGTGAAATTATGAACGCGTTACTGAAAAGTGCTTTAAATTTTCAACACCGTTCATGAAAACATGTTTGTAGGTCTAGTGTCCCGATTGTCCGTACTAGCAAAATTCGTTATATGGTCCAGCTGCTAGAGCGTCCGCCCTTGACACATGGTAGCACAGGTTCGGTTCCGTGAGGAGACGGTTGTGAGCTGTACGATTTATTTAGTTATTATTTATAATGATTATATGTTTACATGTACTTCTAATAATAAATAAATTCTTTGTCATCAGCAAAATACCAAAATACATTTGTAGTAGGACATATACTGACATGGCCCACTGTACAACATATGATGTAAAATATTAATACGACACCCACTGTGCGATAGAATAAGCGGGAAGCCTAGTTTAAGTTAACTGTAAGCGTTATATTGTCATCCTTTTCTACCGAGTACTAGCATAAGAGATCGCAGATACGTTTACCTGCCTCGCTCACACAGATGAGCGGGAAGAAGGAAGAGGTAGAATCGTGGCGGCACTCTGTGTTATAGGTTCAAGGACAGCGGTTGTAAAATTATAAAGTAAAGAAGTTAAACCGAAGCTATCGTCTACATTACAACTCTAACAATAACGAACAGCGACTTGTGGTGGTTTTTCATACAATTACGTTTGCAAAGTGTGTCCATGTCGAAGGCAACCAAAACATAAGAAAAGATCTTTCATCATCCTCCACTTTCCTGGAGTATCAGCCTTTAAATAATGTTCACAGATATACAGGTAATGTTCACCTTCACCCCATCTTGTAACCTTTAAGTTCTTTCTTGGAAGAATGTAAAATTGATTTCAGTTGACCCTTATATTCATTCTTCGATTGTTTAATGTTTACCGGGGTTAAAATGGTTGCACTAGCAATCTTTCTTGCCATAGTGCTGAACCGATTGCTGAAGTGATGTAAATTTGGATAAGCCGGATTTTACGATGAATGCTCAATCCATCGAGTCCACACACGGGGCGCTGCCGTGTGTCGTACGGCACGAATTCGCGAGATGATAGAGGCATATAAAAATAAAGATATAGTTAAAGGAAAAAAAGTGAAATCTATTTCTGTGCTAGAAAGTGTAATATTAATTGTTTTAAGAGAGGGAGAGAGTCAGGTTTTGAGATAATAGGATAAAGTCTATTATAGTCGGAACATAATACTCTAAAATTAAGAATATTTAATTTCTTGTTAATCTGCATGAAACAGAAAAGATTAGCTGGCTAACCAAATCGGAGCAATCAATTTCACCAGGATACAAATATCGACTGTTCCAAGCATCGTTCTGCGGTTGGCAGAAATAGGAGTAATATACTAGAACAAGAAGGTAAAATGAGGTTTTCATTCCAGCTAGGCGCCTTAAGGCAAATAGAAAAAAGTTCTTCTGTACATATTCGATACGATCAACATTGGGGACTCCAGACAAGTAGTATTGGGCGGACAAGCGAAAAAATAAGGTCTTAGTAATATAAGGATCTTCAAATTCCTTTGACAACCTTTTAATAAAGCCAAGCGCACCCCTAGCTTGTGATAAGCAAACTTTAGTCTTGAGTACAACAAAACACCAAGATCATTTACTAGAGTTGTTATATCCAATGAGCCCTCATTCATTGTGTATGTCGCATTTTGACGATTGACACGGCAAAAAGTCATAACCTTACACTTAGAACCATTTAAATCCAGTAAATTGTCAGAGCACAATATTTGAAAATTATTCAAATCGGATTGCAAGTCGGACTGGCAAGAAGTATCCTTATACTGAAGGCATAGTTTAACATCATCTGCGAACCTTAGTACACGAGAATGAGTAATAACTGATGGAAGGTCGTTTATAAATAAATTTAAAAGTAGCGGCCCCAGGTGGCTCCCTTGTGGGATACCGGAAGTAAGGTGGAGTAGACAAGACAGATCATTTTTAAAAAGTTCTCTTTGTGTTCTGCAGTTCAGATAACTTAAGATCCATCTTAAAAGATCAACAGGAAACCCTAATAAATCTAGTTTTCTAACCAGAAGAAATGCTTTACTAAATTCAGTGTAAATGACGTCTGTTTGAAAATATTTTTTAAATCCTCTTATCGCAAATGAAGTAAGTTCCAAAAGGTAAGTGGCTGTTGATCACAAAACCGTGATGACACAGTGATATAACCGACCTTCAGAGGTGCTACAAACGGGGAGTAATAATATTTTCATAGAGGTTTGGGATCGCTTACAATTTAGAGATACCTCTATAATTGTTTTCTTCCATTTTGCTACTCTTCTTGTAAAGAGGAATTACAAACGAAGATAGCGAGGAAGGATAATTGGTGGATTTACGCTTAGTGTAAACAAATTTATTAATCCTTTTCGGATTCTGAGAGAATTTAACTTTACAGCGACATAAACAGTTTTTGTAACACAGAGAGTTCAGCTCGGTTAAACTAGTCCGAGCACTTAAGTATCTAGAAAAAATATATTTAGAACCGGTATCTTTGTTTTCCCTATAAAGTCTGGACTTCTTATTTCTTAGATGTGTCACTGAACCAAGGTGGCTTGATGGAGACTGACGGATAGTATAACGGAACACAAGAATTGAAAAACGAATATGGTACTATAGAAAATTTGTTTAGCATCATGCAAATTTTGGGATGAGTACAAATCGGACCAATCAAAGCCTGATATATAAAAGTTTAGCCTCCGAAATGCGGCCTTGCGAAACAATGAAATCGCTAAGTTGACTTCTCTGATTGTTCTACTAACACAGCACCAGTGTCGATTGAGACTTCAAGACCTCTTCGGGTTGAATAAGAGATGCTACTTTGGCCAGAAACACGCAGTACGGAATAGTTACAAAGCACAGGTCCAGTAAACGGCCTAAAGATTTCCTAATGTGGTTAACTTCAGACAAAGATATGTCAAGCAAACCTTAAGTGAAGTCAAGACGAGGTAATGGACGTAAGACATTCGTTTTTATACCCGTTACACGTAGAGTAAAAGGGTATACTAGATTCATCGGAAAGTATGTTACAGGTAGATGAAAGAAGGGTTTCCGACCCCATGACGAAAACAAATTCTTGATCAGGGTCACTAGCCGAGTCGATCTAGCCATGTCCGTCTGTCCGTATGTCCGCAATACTGGGACTACACAGAGAAAACAAGGAAGAACGCTATAGTCGAGTACCTCGACTAACAGATACCCGTTACCCATCTAATGGGACCAAAGGGAAATGGAGATATGCAAGCAGCAAAGCGAAATTGAAATGCGCCACCTACCGGCGGTAGACAGATTTAAGCGTTATGGGCGTTAGAGTGGGCGTGGCAAATTATTTTTTGGATCAATCGATAGGTATTGACGAGAACAATACATTTCAGTTTATTCTAGCATCAAAACTGTAGGAGTTTTGGGCGGTTTGTGGGCGTTAGAGTGGGCGTGGCACTCTTCTGAAACAAACTTGCGCTGCGCAGGAATCTCAGAAATCTGCATGCCTAATCCCAGTATTGCAGCTTGTATAGTTTCCGAGATTTCAGCGTTCATACGGACAGACGGACAGACGGTCGGACGGACAGACGGACATGGCTAGATCGACTCGGCTAGTGATCCTGATCAAGAATATATATACTTTGTGGGGTCGGAAACGCTTCCTTTTGCCTGTTACATCCTTTTTGACGAATTTAGTATACCCTTTTACTCTACGAGTAACGGGTAGAGATTTCTGAGCAGCGCAAGTTTGTTTCGTCAGTGTGCCACACCCACTCTAACGCCCACAAGCCATAGCACCCACGAACCCACGAGCCGCAGTTTTAAATCAAAGTAAATATAAAATAAAAAATAAAAATGTAATTAAATTTTAAACACATTTGCTCCCAAACGCTTAAAAGGAGCTGATCATGTGATTTTTATAAAAATGCTCTCAGCTTGTGTTTTTGAGCACACAATTTCATACAAATTGAGCGCTGGATCTGAGTGCTCAATAAGCGCTGAATTGTACTCCATGGTGTATACAGAAATAAATGAAAATCGGCTGAAATGGCCCGATCCTAACGATTTATAACCAAATCGAAAAATAAAACTAAAAAAATTCAAATTGACACCTCGTTTGTTGAAATAAATGCCTTTTAATAATTTTTCTCATTCGGCAAGCAGCATCTGAATCTTACAGCTCCTTGTCTACGTAAGCATATTGTATTGCAGCGGCCAAATGAGATAAATTTAAAAAACTGTACTTATTGTATTATACATTTGTATTATACGTGATTGTGTTATACATTTTCATCCCCTGTTTTTTTACCTCGTTAAGCCCAGTACTCATATTATAAAAACCGCGAGCTTATGCAAATAGGCGGCTAACGCTTTTCGTCCGGTCAGCGAGCTGCTCAGATGAGGAAAGAAAATACTAGAAAAAAAACCAAATTTCGATGAATGGTTAGCCGCAACGCAAAGAACAAAAAATGTAAGCTTTCGGCGTGTGCAGTGCAGCTAAAATAGGATGTATAATCCAAGTCTTGTTTAAGTTGCCGACTCTTGTGGGACTTGATCCACAGCTAGCAATACTACAACAGGGCAATCCGCAGAATAGTGAAACTGCTGGAGATAATCCAATCGATAATGGGAAGGAGCATGACGAGTAAGACTTCGCTCCCTACATGGACATCCTGCCGAACTGGTGCACGCAAAAAAGTAAGTTGTGGCCAAAAAAATTAGATACGTTTAACTATAAAGTGTCTTTTTAGCAGAACCACCAGTATTATGATCTCTGACGATCTCTCTATTGGGGAATCGCTGGATTCCACCTCCATCAGCTACTTCCCCAGTGCTGCCCTTTTGTCCTTTTCCGGACAGATCTGTCCAAATTTAAACTGCCTCAGCCGGAAAAAAATTCAAACGTCCTCTGTTTGGAAATCTGTCCTTTCGAACTGAGTTAATTATTTTGTTTCAATCTATCTTATTTACTGATAGACGCATTAAATAGACTTTTGGGTTTTGAGTTCTGAATACCAATCGGTGTATGTATGGTTACTACGGCGGTCGATAAAATGAAATCTTCTTCTTACCCCTTCGCATGGTTGATTTAAATGTGCAATAATGTATTCAAAAACTAAAAAAAAGAACTTGAACACTTCCTCAAAGTTTCTTTAAAAATTACTCATACGACATGTATGAGTCGTAACTTTTTTCAAAAAGATCGATTTTCCCTCCCCAACTTTGCCAACTCTCGAATCTCGGTCAATATGAATACAACATTGACGAAAAATACCGAAATGTTTTTGGAAAAAAACCTTAGGTCAGAATTTGGCACAACGTACTTTCCATCCAAGTCATGGCCACCTATATAAAAATAATATATCTAATCAACCTCAACAGTGCATATGAGTTATAAACTTTGAAACACAATTTTTTTACCCATCTGTCCACTACCAAGATGTGTTAGAAAAATAATAAACAAAAGTTTGGGAAATCGTTCTTAAAGCAATAAGAAATTATAAACTGAATGTGTCGCGATTTAAAAGATTCCAGTAAAGCTTAAAATAATTTCAATATCAAATAAAATGTTAAATTTACTAATGATTAATTTTTGTCAGGTTTTTTTGTCGTTTTTTTAAAGTATTGGTCCTTTTTCCCCGTCTTAATTTGGCGGATCTGTCGGGTTTTTAAGCTGAGTGCTGGCAGCACTGTATTCGGAAGCTAATCCGCAGTTGAGGACCCGCTGGCTTCTATTGGAAGGAGGAATAAGGGCCGCCCACTTCATGCGGCATGAGCGGAACGACGCCGTTCCCAATCCGACTCCCACTCACTCAAGACCCATGTTGGCATTTTGCGAATTGGAGCTGGCCTGCAGATGGCGCGGAGACCTTAAGCTATTAATTAACATAAATAAAAACATCCTTTGAACGTGTATATTTATTCCATGTATGGTTTATTTCTTTGTGCACAAGCAGATTCTTCTTTTTTAGATCGTCAACAAAACAAAAGCAGCTGCTTGACAGTAAGACCATGAGGGTGAGCATTGACTTTAATAAAAAAATAATATAAAGATATGACATTTTACACCAAACGCCCTATTCGTTAGTATGGAGACTTGTGGGGCCTTTGAAAACTTCAGTGAAAGGAGAAAAAAGGATTCAGCCAACGTCGACGATTTTCAAAAATGAGCTTGATCAAGGAAAATACATTACAAACAATTTGATAAATAAAATCGAAATCGGTTGAAAGCTCCTTCGGCAATCCAAGATAATTGCGTTTAAAAACAAAAGTCAAATGTTTCTTTTTCATATCTTTATTAAGTTATAATTTTATAATATATGCACATCTTTTGCCAATTATTAAATATATAGGAACTTTATAAATATTTATTTATACTTCCTTTCTTGCAAGTTTTACACAATATTTGTAGTAACTCGGATTAATACATAGGTTGACATTTAACTTACTTTTACGTTAAAGTTTACTTATACTCAATGTGCGAATCAAGTATTTTTATAGCATGAATATTGTTTGAATCGATTTATTAATAGCAAAATTGTACATACATAAGTATATTATTGGCATAAATGTGTTCAGTATTTATACTAACAAACAAATTATATATGCAAACTGAAAAAGCTCAGTAAAACCAAATAATACAAATGATAATAACCAAATATGTAGGGGCAGGGCAACACAAAAATCCCCTCCGGCGGATTTTCGGTAGAATTGTAACTACTGTAGGTAATAAGTATTCCCGAACTTCGGCCAAAATTTTTGTGTCAACCCCAATGTAGATTGAAAGTTAAATCCATTCAAAAAATGTTTGTACGGTCTTGTAAAAAAGTTATTTTGACAAAATCGAACAGACGAAACTTTTTAAGGTTTAGTCTAGTTATGTATATGGTGATATGTTATATATTTATACATACACACATATGCATGCATGATAGTTATCGATTGAGCAATGAAAGTACTGACCTCACCTTTAAAATCTCATATTACTCTGTGTGTCACATGTGTTGATCATATATGTATTTAGGGTCGCACGTTGATTTCGGTTATTTTTTCAAACGAATACATGTGTATAATTGCGAGGATCTAGTTTCATTTTTGTATAAGTGTAAGTCTGCTTTTATGTCCATATATGTAAATCTGTGGCTGTTGGCAATTATGAATGCTTAAGTACATAGGTATGAAAATAATTATTTTATAAAATGATTATAGGATTTTAAACACTTCACATATTTTTATTATTCTAACGTTAATATGGACATATGTTGATTATTTTTGAATAAATTGCCTGTCATAAATTTAAAATTAGATAAACAGAAAGTAATGTCATTTATAGTTATTCCCAAACTTACAAGTAAATATATTTGTATATCTTTTTATTTAAGTCTATAGGAACTTTTTAGTACATTTTTCTTATGTCTCTCAACATATCTATATTTATTTGCAATTAACAATACACTTATTCATATACGAGTACGTATGAATGTATGTGATGCGGAATGAGATTGAATAAATCTAAATGTGTGTACTTTAAAAATGTTTTTAAAAAGGAATCAGTCTAATACTATTTTCTTCGTTTAACTGTTGATAGGGTAAATTGTGTCCTTTCAAATTGTAAATGGAAATTTGCAGGGAAATTTTAAAATTATAAATATAAATAACGATACAATAATACGCTGCGATATTTCTTTACATTCAAAGATTTGTCTTGGAAGTTTTAATAAAAAATTAGTGCAATTGTGAAATAGTAACTCCTGTCTCTCCCCTAGAAGTTTACATTTATTGTTTTTCGTCTAAAACATAAATTATAATCAAAAACATATTCAGAAAGAAATAAAAAATAAATTTTGTTGAGTAAGTAAATAATTTAATACGCCGTAACAAATATTTAACAACGAAACTATCTTATAGGTTCAAACAAACTGTAAAAACTCCTGTTTCCTTTAAACCATTTACTTCATCTTCCCTTTTGATGAATTTGCTATAAATTTGGAAATTGAGTACAATATAGCTTTAGAGATACAATGTTTTTATGCTATAAGCATGCATTGCAAAATAAAACATTGGCACATTTACTCTCAGCATAATTATGACATAATAAAATTAATCAAAAGCGGTTTGATTTATCGTGTACAGTTTCCGAAAGATTTATAGGAACCACGTATGTCTTTAGCTTTTGAAATGATTTTAAAAGATCGGCATGCCGAAGCAGATCTTAATATCGTCAATTACATTCTAATATAGAAAACAAAGGCATAAAGCAATCAAATGCTAGGAACTCAGTTTACGTTTCATTAAATCTAGTTCGTTATATATGTATCTATGGAGCTGCCTTGATTTTTCGACTAATCAAGGCTTGGCTCTTCATTTCAAATTGTTTAGGATTGCCTCAATTGTGTATACTTTAAGATTACCGCTAGTTTATATTTTGAATAGTTAGGAACACTTCCGTATAGTTAAGAAATTCTTACTAATGGTGAAATATTTTTTCACAAGAATTGGAATACTTATTTCTGTATTCATTTGGTTCATGGAATGTCAATGTTTTTATAAATTTCTGTAAAATAGGAACTTTTTAGTTTTCGTAGTATGGTTTGTTTATGCTTGTATTTTTCTCGTGTACGTTTTTTTGCATCTTTTTATGCAATCATTTTCCATTCGTAGTCTGTAAGGTAGAAAAGGTTTAGCGAGTTTAAATAAATTTAAGTAGAACCACTTACCTACGTTTAACCACTATCCACGGTAATAAGGCCATACAAACAATCCAATTTATTTTCCACCTATAACTAATAAAACAAGAGTTACTAATTTAGTTTTCACATCGGTTGAACAATTATCATATACGATTGCCTTACTCTAATCCAACTGAAAAATGTGTGATATTAACATTACAAACCAAAGTAAAATTATAACATAAAACTAAATAACAATAAAAACACAACTCGATAATAAATGGATTTTAATAAAGTAAAATGTTTATTTTTGTACATGTTCCAGTATATTAATGTTATTGGGTTCTTGCATTAATTGTTTTATACATTTAATATATATAATGACATTTAATCACTAATCAAGTGTCAATATCGGTAATTGTAGCACCAAAAACTCAATTTATATCGATTCGTACCAAAACATATATTTAGGTATTTATTTTTGTCGCTTCTAAAAACATTGGAATAGTCGGCAAATAGAAGGAAAGCAAAGGAGATAAAAGAAAAAGTACCATGTACTGCTTTGTTGACACTTAGTGTCCTTAAAATGTACTTGGGAATAATTTAAAAAACATCTCACACGAGGAGTAGTAACTTTTCTGATTCTACTTATGTAGTTTAGACACACAGGCATACATAATTACAAATTCAGATGTATACAATCTTTTTGCTTAATTTTTGTTTATATATATTTCTATCAAAAAGAGAAATAAATCTTTTATATATATCAACTATTTTTATTTTTAAATTTGCGAGGCGTTAAAATATATTCCTAATAATAAGTCTTCTATATTTTATGGAAAGGATGTGCCTGCCCTCAACATTGAATGAATATTCTGGATAACGTCAAATTAAAAAGGGGGCAGCGGTAAACACAATAAAACTTGTTTGATTACATTTGATAATTGACAAAGCAAATTTATATATAAAATATAAAAATCAAGGTGTAGTGGAAAATTTAATCTGATCAACAGATAAGATCTAAACGAAAATTGTTTAACCTCCCGAAACTCTTACCGGTGATATGGTTTCGGTTAAATAGCTGCTGCATCAGTTCCTGATTGCCAGCGATTTTTCGCACATCTTCAGAGACGATTTCGGCAGGCAAAGTATGTTGAATATGACTCTTCGAATCACCACTAGCTGTATCGTAGTTAAGCATACAGTTCTCTTCAGGAGCGTCTAAGTCTTGTCCAGAACCTGTTGTAAGATTGGCTTTGCTTGTCGCGTTTGAAACGACGTGTTGGAAAAGAAAGGCCTTTGATAAGTTGTAAAACCTTTTTTCCCTGTCGGAATCGTTGTCATCGCTGCCGCTTCCGTTGCTCTGTGCATAAAGCTCGGTGGTTTGTTCAAGTAGCTTCTTCATCTTGCAGATATGCTCTACGCTAAAAGCGTGCTTTCGGATGTTGACTTGGGTGACTTGGCATAGCTGGCAGTCCTGTAGATTCGATTCGTGATCCTGTTCCACGGGTCCGCCATTAGTTTTTAGGTCGCTAACGACTTCCTTGCCACTGGAGCCATCATAGCTGTTATCGTCAGATATGTGTGCATAATGTCGCTGATTGCGGGATTTTTTATCTTTGGCCCGAGAATTTTGAAACCAGACCTAAAAGTAGCAGGAGTTATAGTAAAATAGATGCTTTGTTTGAGTACTTTTTCTATATTTAAGAAGAAGAATTTTAAGAATCTGATTTTCATTTAAACTATTCAATTATTTACCTTCAAAGTACTTTACTTGATGATAATTACGACTTAAAAAAATCAGTCTGTAACCCCATAATGGTTTTTATGGTTTTAGATTGTTTAATAGGTATGTGTTGCATGTTCACTAAAAAATAAAGTAAAAACGATACAAATTAATAACGATGAAACTATATGTAAACTTAAAATAAAAAAGATAACGAATTGAAAAATTCTATAATGCAGTAAAATATATTTTCACTAAATTAGATCGGTACATACAGGTTAGCTTTCGATTTGACTAAAAATTAAAAAATACTCTGCCTCAGAATTAAAATAAAAATGGAAGCTAGGTATGTTTAACTTTTGATTCGTGTAATAAAATAATCCGGCAGCCTAAACGGTTGCACATAAAATTATAAATTAAACATGGCGAACCTACTAAGATTGAATTGGTACGTTAGTCGATCCCAAAGACCCTCGAAACACAAGATTTTTTATTCATATTATTTTTCCGATTTTCTTTGTTCTAAGTTATGCTAAATTTGTTTACAAATTTACTCATCGTGATTTTAGGCAGGTAACTGCATGATTATTTCATATTTCACTTAAAATAGGTATAAAAAAGATTCCTGACAAGGTCGCAGATCGACAAAATTATAATTGAATACTAATTTTTACAAAGCGTTTTCGAATTAATAGGGGTGTGTAGGGTAAGGGTAAGGTAACGAACTCGTCAAATCTAATATGTGACGTTACGTCAAAATTACAAATAATTCTAGTCGATTCCTCTTGTCGTGCCGACAATGTTGTACAATAGTATTATTAGGAGTTCGCGTAATTTGTTCCTGAGATAATTTTGACCAAAACGGTGGAGCATAAATTAATAAGCCAATTCAATTTATTTGTAATCCGGCAGTGCTATATAACTAACGATAACTACAAAAACAATTATTTTTTGGTGATTTTTGTGAACTAGGAATTGAACACCTTAATTTTGTTCAATTTAAACCCAGAACTGAAATAAGTAAATGTTTAACCTTTTCTGAAGAATAAAAAGTTTTGTCTTTGGTTTACGCCAATAGCTGTAGTATTTAACTCCGCTGGAATTTTACCGTCGAACTTTTACAGGAGTATACTGTGAATACTTTGAAAAATATTTATATTTGGAAAAGTGAAATTCAAACAAAAAAGAACGCGCTAGTCGAGTACCTCGACTATCAGATACCCGTTACTCATATGTTGGCGGTAGACAGATCTAGGCGTTATGGACGTTAGAGTAGGCGTGGCAATCTTTTTTTTGGGTTAAGCAATAGGTACTGATGAGGACAATACATTTCAGTTAAAATTTGTATTCTAGCATCAAAACTGTAGGAGCCACAGTTTTGGGAGATCTCAGCGTTCATCCGGACGGACAGACAGACGGACAGACGGACATGGCTAGATCGAAGTGACTTCTGGACGATAGGTGATAGAACTATCGTCTTTACCTTGCACGGTTCACACCTGTCTCCTAAATCTCCAATACTTGATAAAAATTATAAAGGCATTTATGAAAATGTGCTGAAGAAATCTAGCCCAGACGGAAAACTAATGACAACACGAATGCTGATAACAAGATATCCGTTAATCAATTGTCAATGCTAAGATGCGAATAAATTTCGATTCAATTTCTTTAATGCCTTTAAATCGACCTTAAAGCTAGCTTGACTAGATTTGTTACTTTAATGGCTGGTTTTATGTAGCCTGTTCAAGAGTTAGCTCTTGTGACTATTTGATTTTTCTTGCATCGGAGGGAAAAATCTAAAAAAAAAATGTTTGGGAATCTTGCAGAAAGTGTAAACCTTTGAAAATTAAGCAATAGAGTTTAATAAAAATATTTTCCCTATATATATATATATTTTGTAAACTCGGAAACGCTGCTACACACTTTCCGACGAATCTAGTATACCCTTTTACTCTACGAATAACTGGTATAAAAATCTCCAAAACCTCTATCTCTATGTTGGCGTGGAAATAAGGAATGTTTTAAGTTATATTAAAGCTGCGTATATAAAGACAAGACAAGGTATAGGATAAATCCAACCTATTCGCGAAATTTCCAATGGCACAGCCGTAGGCGACCTTGCTAGTAAAGTTTGATGCATGCAAAACCCAGGCTTTCCTGCAGGAAATGTATAATTAACAATCCTTTTATATCACAAAACTGATTTCTTGGCTTAATTTTAAATATAAATGTATTTCTCGTAAGACCTTTGAGCGCAAATCCAGTGATCGAAATTTCAAGAATATATTTACTTTAGGGCGTTGGAAATGCTTTCTTCTGTTTTTGGGGATCGCTCCTTGACTAAATTTTTGATCTTATAATCTTAACGCTACCTGGTTTTAAAGAGTAATAAAACATATCGCACATATTTAAATTTAATTATTTGGTACTTACTTGCACTACACGTTTCTTCAGATTAACTTTCTTAGATATCTCTTCAAGCATTTTTCGGCTTGGATTTGACTCCGATTGATAGCATTCATACAAAAAGTTCAGTTGCTCCGGGAGTATGGTTGTACGTAGGCGTTTGTTTTGTTTGGATGAAACATTAACCGGAGACACAGAAGACCGCTTTTCCATCTCGTTGGCTTTGTGAACCGATTCGTCTTTTTGGCAAGCTTTCTCATCATCATTAAAAGTCAGGGTCTGAGAGTTGTTCTCTATCATGGTGGCATCCAGAAAGTCTTCAAGGTTGTGTAAATACTGTGGCTTTTCCTTGTCATCTTTTTGTAAGGATCTTGAGCTCAAATATTTGTTATCATCATTAACTGCAATTAATGAAGGTGCCATTAACAACTCTTCCGTTATTTCAACAGATTGAACGCCGTTGGTCTCGGTTGTATCAGCTTGAACTAAGTTGATGTTAATGCTGTTGTTATTAAACTTTTCCACTGCACTCTTACTTTTAGACAAAGCATTTTCCTCGCATGGCCTGTCTATGCTGAATTGTTCTTCTTGTTCATCTTTTTGTATTTCTGTTGCCTGCTCCAATGATCTTTCGCCGATATCATTACTAACTTCATCTGTCGTGGGTTTTGGCATCTGCGATGACGGGTTGTAGCCTGGGCCATCAGGCATTGTTTGGGGCGAGGCAACTAACTGAAAAAACTTTTTTGATTCGTTCAGTTGATAGTACTGCAATAGAAACTCGATGGTTGGCTTTTTACTGGAGCTAAAGAGATGCTGTTGCTTTGATTTTGTCTTCAGGGATGCCTCTTCTTGTGTGCGATAGTACTGCAGTAAAAAGTCGTAGTTACTGACCTTCTTTAATTCGCTCTGCTGATAGAAATTAGTTAGGAAATCCATATCAAAATCAGATTCATTTCCTTGTTCTTGGGTTTGAAGCTGCAGTGCTTTCTTATGTTGTTGTCTCATGAGAAACTGCTGTTTCAGTTCTGCGTTCGTTTCGTTTTGCATAAAATAATTATAAAGGAATTCGTGCTTCTTATGTGCAGCCTCGGGTTCCGATAAGGTCGGCATGTCATCTGCATTTGAAGAGCTATCCGAGTATTTTCGTTTTTTTGTTGGAGGTGGTTGATGCTGAGGCTGCTGCTGTTGAGCCGCTGCTTGTTGTAGACTTTGCAGTATGCAGCCGAACGGGCCGAAGTTGGCATCAGGATTGGAGTTCTGTCCTGCGTCTGAAAAAATTTTAGCTGGATTCATCAGGTGTAATAGTTGATGCTCCCGCAATTTCTCTAATTGGTTAAACTGCATTTCGCATTTATCACAGTCAAACTTGGGAGGCCGTTGTGGATGGTCCAAACTGTTGCTGCGTTCTCGTTGGGGTGGCGTGGGAGTCGTGGATGGGCTGAAGTCAGTTAGAGAAGAAGACTTGGCGAACAAATGCTGTGGCGAGGGCAAAGCGCCAAATGATTGCTGTGCGTACTGTCCGGCCAAAGGAGCTGCAGGACCAACGGTTGACAAACTTTGAGCAACTACTGTAGAGCCTGGCGGACATATGCCAACATGGTGTATATCCATGGAGGAATTCGAATCTTCTGAGCTTAAATTCTGTGCTATTTGAGCAGCCGCGATTTGTGCCTTAGCCGACTTTTTGTTATTCTCCTCCTTGAAGCAGTGATTTTTCTGATGACGTATTAGCTCGTAGTACCGTTGAAACACCAAGCTGCACTTTTTGCACGCATAGTTAATGTTTTGTTTTTTTGTCTCCTCATTTTCAAACAAAGAATTGTTCGGTTGGTTTTCGTAAATCTTGCGTTGCTTTTGCCTTGCATTTTGAAACCAAACTACTATAACTCTAGGAGATAGCAACAGAAGCTTACTTAAATACTCGAGATCACTGTCTTTTGGGTATGAATTGTTCTCGAAGAACTCCTGTAAAACCTTTATTTGATAGTCTGTGAAACGTGTGCGGTTCGCTCGCTTACCACCCGATGTCGACGATGAGGAGCTTGACGAGTTCGAAGAATTACTTTCGAACTGGGTGCTAGCACTGATCGAGCTCGAGATCGGCGTTGAGGTCTTGTCGAACGTTTTTCCAACAATCTGCAGTTTTTTTGGTGGCCCCATGTTACTGCCCATGTTTTCCAATTGTTGATTTATTAAATCATTCATGGTGCCGTAAAGATTTCCTGCAGCTCCACTGTTCGGAGTAGGAGGGCGCGACATTACATCGGAGCTACCACTCTCCGATTTTGTTTCAAAGATATTTGTTTGCTGTTGACTCTGACAGTGGGCCGAAAGCGAAGAACCGGCGAGTAAGGATTGGTCCTGCGAGACTTCCGTGTCTTGATTTGTAATGGGTTGTTCTTGGGGATCCACAAGTTCCTGTTGATGCTTTAAAAAGTTAAAGTTTGAGTGCTGCTTTGTCTGGAATGCAAAATCATTTGAACCAATCATATCATCCTGGGGCTCTGACTTTATATGTCCATCCACAGGATATGGCAAACCTGGCTCCTTGCCCCCGTGCTGTCCAAAAAACAAGTTATTACTTAAATAATCGGATATGTTGCCGCTCGAGTTTGTTGATTCTGGGCGAGATAAAGGTGTTGAGACTGGGACGGTAGCAGGGAATAGGACAGGCGCCGATTGTATTGATTTCCCAACAGCGGATACTCTTGTAGTTGCGCTTTCCTTAGGGATTACATTAGTGTTAGCAGATGGTGCCGATGAAATCGTTGATGTGGTCATTGGCGCTGATATTGGGACGCTACTGGTATCATTTAGAGGCGTAACTTTGGCCTGACCTGTACGTTCATACTCTTCCAAGTTAAGAGTTGTCGACGGTGGATTATTAAAATTGTAGGGAGAGTCCTTATTGCGTTGTCTTTCCTTAAACAGCGTGTTTCGGAACCAGTGTTTGACCACCTGCAATAAGGAATGTTGTTTAACAGTGATTCAATGTAAGCTTTTGAGGTCTTACTTTCATTGGTAGATTTGCTTTCTGTGACATTTCCATAATGCTCTCTTCGCTTGGGGAATTATTTATGTCGAAATGTGCCCGTAAAATCTTTAACTGATCATCTGTGATTCGCGTTCGGGCTCGCTTTTGGTTGCTGGCCAGCTGTTAAAATCAAAAAGAGTTAAAAATTAAAAATATAAGACGCTTAAATTTAATTGTCTTATTAACAAAGGAATACACATTATATGTAATAAAGATAATGGAAATGTTTTATGATTATCTGGTAGCTACGTGTGACAGAATGGTACCAGCAATTGAGAGTGAAAGGTTAAAATTGTGATTTATTCAGACAGATCTAAAACTCAGTTTTCTAAGACATGTGTGCAATGCACATTGTGCACAAATAAAAAATTTTTTGTTCAAGATATCTTCTTCAACAACTTGATTCTTAATGCAGTACCTGAGAGTTTGAATTGACATTGTGCTGAGGTTGAGCTGCGACTAAAGTAGCTTTAGCAGAGTCCACCGGCAAGGCGTTGACCCCGCTGGTGAGCTGAACATCAGTTAGCCCTGAAGTAGCTGCTACGGTGGACGAGGTAATGATGTTATTTTGGGCTGTTGACGCGGGAACGGCATTGCTGCCGGCGGCACCACCGCCGAATACCAAGGGAGGAGCCAGGTTCATGAAGTTCAGGGACATCAGGTGGTGAAACTGCATTAGATTAAGCATATCTACTGGATTTATCGGTAGTCCCGATGCAGCAGCAACGGCACCAAATTGCTGTTGCATATTCTGAAGGTTTTGCAGATTTTGCAGACCCTGAAACAATTACTTATTAGTGGCATGACCTTTAAGGGTGAAAGTCCCTTGGAATGGCACTACCTGCAGGTGTTGGGAAAACTCTCCAGCTGACAGCGGCAAGGCTTCGGGGTGGAGGCCAACAGCTTCTGAGTTACCCTGCTGCTGCTTGAGTAGAGCTGCGAAAGTAGCGAGGTATTGCTGTTGGGCCTGGGAGTCCACAGACATTGGGCTAGGTGACAACAGCCTTGTTTCCTTGCTCTGTTGCGAGTCTAATCGAAGCGGTGACACATCGTTACCGATGACTTCTGAAACAAATCAACGAAGGTTCATTAATAGAGTTCCAAAACGATTTGTATGAAATATTTGTACCTCTTTCTAGCGCATGTGACTCCCCTAGAGGAAGCTTGTGTGCTTCCTCGGAACTCAATGTTGGCGTCTGTGGACTGCTTGATCTGCCCGATGGAGCTCCATCTTCTGAGTGCGCTTGCTCCATGTGCTTCTGCAGCGCCTGCGTGCTGCGGAAGTTGCGTTGGCAAAGAGAGCACTTTGTGGCATCCCGCATTGTGTGGTAGAGCATGTGCGTGGTGAGCTTTTCTTGAGTTTTGAACGCCAGCGAACACTGTTTGCATCGATACTTATACACATGGCGCTCGGAGATAACTAGGCTCATGTGTGAGTCCTGGAAGTGGGTGATCATAGCTGAAATGGTTCTGAAGCTCATGTAGCACGGACGGCTGATGTGGCTTGCTGCAAGACACAAATACTCTCCATTTTGTGAAGGGAAATGCTGGTTCTGTTGCGCATGCTGAAGCAGCTGTTCCTCGTGCTTGAAGCTGGCCTCACACTGCTGACAGGAAAGTCCTTGCATTCCCACTGGAAGGCTTGAGTTAGTTGCGGTGGTGCACTTATTTGTGTTGGCACTGGAGGGGCTCTCACTAGGTGGCGGTGCTGCCTCTTCCTTCTCTGTATTCGCGTAAGGAGCTTGAGGGACTAGGTTTAATGCATCCGTGCTCTCGCTTTCACTTTTCCAGGCTTTCTGATCCACTAGCAGCAAGAGCCGAGAAAGACCATCTTTGGTAACGCTGTGAACGCTTGTCAAATGGGCCTCTAGGTATATCTTTTCCCGAAAATGGTTTTCTAGGCACAGGGGACACTGCACCCCCACTTGAGTTTCCAGGACTTTTGGCGACTCCGGACCTGCAGAAGGCGTCGCCTGATGGGCAACCTCTTTGGTATCCTCTATACCTGCCATCGGATCGTCCTCCTCTTCAAGCCGCTCCCGTTTAATAGCCACAGGGCCGTCACCGGCATTCGCGGCCAAGTCCTTGTCTGTTTCACCGGTATCCTGTGCCGGAGCATTAATAGCGGCGCACCGTTGTTGCACCGCAGCCAGAGCAGCTGCTGCAACAGCTGTTTGGAAAGCCTGCAGAGCGGCCGTGTTGGTTGGTATACTTATAAAGTCATCACTCTCAGCACATGGGTGCTCAGTCTCAATATGAGACGCCATGTCGCTTTTCGATTGAACGAAGTATTCGCAGAGATTGCACTTAAATACAGTAGTAGGAACAGGGGCACCCGAACCAAAGTTATTAAGGTTTGGAGATGAATTGTGGCCCAAAGATTTGCCACCCGGTGTCGCACAACTGGAGGGAGAAGTTGGTGAAAAAATACTGACATCAGGAATTGCAGAGACTCCTGACGCAGATGATGCCGCAGCATAGCTGGCATCCGCGGTGGCTTCGTTGGTTACAGTTGTCGACAAGTTAAAGCCAGTCTCGAATGCAATATCTGAAACATACAAAATATAGTAAGATGTGCCAAGATTAATTTAAACAACTTAATTAAAATTTACCCGAAGATATATAGTGCTTTGAAACATAAGTAACACATAGAACTTCGTCTAATTTCTATGCCTATTGTTTATGGCTAACGATCCAACATCCAATCATACACTCTAGTTTAAAACCAATTGTATCTTATAGAAGTTAAGTCAAAAGGGAACGCTATACTCGAGTACCTCGAAATAAATATACCTTTGACTAGAGGCGAAAAAACATCGATGTTTACATTTTTATCTAGATATGGACAATAGGTGATTACTTAGTAACAAGTGGTCAGATCCTAACAATTTTCGGCGAGCCGTTATGTATTGACAAGCGGAATAAGATGTAATAGAATCTACATGGTTAAGGCCATATTTCTAGCTTTAAAAGCTTCTGAGATATCAGCGTTTAGCGTGGTTGATTTTGTTCAATTTGTGGGCGGTAGAGTATTCGTGGCAACTTTTTTTTAGTTCAATTGATAGGTGTACCTACACCCAAAAAAATATCTTCATTAATACTATACTATTGAGTGTCAAAAAATCTTTGATACGTAGACCCTAATATAGGATCACTTTGACACTTCAAAAAAGTTTTTTACAAAAAAGCTTTTTTTGTCACAAAAAAGCATTTTGCCGCTTTATAAAAAAATGTAGGCGACAGAGTGCTAGCGCTCTGTTTTTGACACACGGCGCTAGCTCTCTGTTTTTTATACATGGGCCTGAGGGTTAGTGGTTCGTGTCCCGCTCGTGACAAACTTATTTTTCTTTTTTCTTTGAAACCTGAAAACTTTTTAAATACAACTTTATTATTAAAAAAATGTTAGATATTTTTCTTAAAAATCTTACAGCGTACTCTGCATCGGCGCGTACTTGAACCTGGGACTTTTCGAATCAGAGACAGACACCTAACCCATTGGTCTATCGCACATCGTTCCCGCGGGGGCTTAGTTCAAATGCCATGATAACCGATACTTGAGCGCAGTTAGGAACTCGAACAATCAAAAAAGCCCTTATCGGTATCAAAGTATCGACGGTTCTAGTCAAAACTACACTTTTAAGGCTCAAAAAGGATTTTTCATACAATGTAGGATATTTTTGATATTTATTTAGGATCTAATTGATCCCAATAACACGATCCTAGGTGTACTTTTTTTTCACCCACACTAATCAAATTGACACTGAAAGATTTTTTTTGGGTGTATATAATATAATTAATATATTAACGAAAGCAATACATTTCAGCTAAAAATAATTTCTTGCATGAAAACTGTGGGCTCCTTAGTTTTAGGTAATTTGTGGGCGTTAGAGTGGGCGTGGCAATTTTTTTCAAGTTAATCGATAGGTATTTTTGAGACCATTACATTTCAGTTAAAATCTTTTTTCTAGCATGAAAATTGTGGGCGCCACAGGTTTGGGCGGATTGTGGGCGCTAGAGTAGGCGTGGCATTTTCGAGTGACAAACTTGCGCTGCGTACAAGGCTACGAAATCTAAATCTGAAATCCCAATTCTCTACCTATGATAGTTTCCGAGATATCAGCGGTCATATTTACGATTATTTGAAGTTTGTGGGCGGTTTGTGGTCGATGCAAACTTTTTTTTGGGTCAATCGATAGGTATTGATGAAAGCAATAAATTTCAGTTAAAATTTTTATTCTAGCATTAAAGGTGTAGGAACCACAGTGTTGGGCGGTTTGTGGGCGTGGCTCACTGACGAATCAAACTTGCGCTGCGTAGAAACTTTTATAGTTTCCGAGATCACAGCGTTCATACGGACAGACGGACATGGCTAGATCAACTCGGCTAGTAATCCTGATCAAGAATATATATACTTTATGGGGTCGGAAATACATCCTTCCACCTGTTACATAGATTCCGACGAATCTAGTATACCCTTCTACTCTATAAGTAAACTCAACTCCATTGTGACCAGTACGTAATAATCTTAGAGCCCAAAAATATATTGTGTGTCTTTACCTCCCTGCTCTCCCCTAACGAAAGGTCTCAAAAATTATTCAAAATAAAAAACAAGAAAGGAAGTTAACTTCGGCAAGCCGAAGTTTTTATACCCTTGCAGTTATAAGAAATAATCAATGTTAGTAAATGTTAAATTTTTAATTTCTGAAAAGTTAAACTATTATATATCCCAGAGTAAAAGAAAGAACGATCCAAAACAACAAAGCACAATTTGTATACCCTTGCAGAGGGTATTAGGATTTTAGTCAGAAGTTTGTAACGCAGTGAAGTCGTAGAACGAAAGTTTACTATTTTGAGCTTCGTATTGCACATATATGGTCCCAAAGACCCTAAAATCTAAAAAGCATTCATACAAACCCTCAAACAGAGGGACAAACATTTTCTTTTTAAAAAGTCCCCCCAAATCTTTTTTTTGGAATAACTTTTGAATGGAGCATCGGATAGCATATAAGGTGTCATTCGACGCGTATTCTCAGTAAGAATAGATCTAGGCTAATAGCCGGAGCATTTATCCCCACCAGACCAAACAGCTCAAATTTTGTAAATTTTTATACCCGTTACTCGTAAAGTAAAAGGGTATACTAGATTCGTCGGAAAGTATGTAACAGGCAGAAGGAAGCATTTTTGACATAAAGTATATATAATCTTGATCAGGATCACTAGCCGAGTCCATCTAACCATGTCCGTCTGTCCGTCCGGATGAACGCTGAGATCTCGGAAACTATGAGAGCTAGGCTATGGAGATTTGGCATGCTGATTCCTGAGCTTCTTACGCAGTGCAAGTTTGTTTCAGCAATGTGCCACTCCCACTCGAACGTATTGTACTCATCAATACCTATCGATTAACCCAATGTACCACGCCCACTATAACGCCCACAAACGCCCACAAACGCCCACAAACTTCAAAAAATCGTATTTATGAACGCGGATATCTCAGAAACTAAAGAAGATAAAGAATTGGGATTTCAGATTTAGATTCCGTAGCCTTGTACGTGCAAGTTTGTTACGCAAAGATGCCACGCCGACAAACGTCCCAAATCTGTCGTGCTCACAATTTTAATGCTAGGTAAATTTAAAAATTTAACTGAAATGCATTGGTCTCGTCAATACCTATCGATTGACCCCAAAACAAGTGCCACGCCCACTCTAACGTCCATAACGCCTAAATTTGTCTACCGCCCACATAACCATATATTGAGATCGCGGGTAGGTGGCGCATTTCAATCTCGCTTTACTGCTTGCGTATCTCCATTTCCCTTTGGTCCCTTTAGCTGAGTAACGGGTATCTGATAGTCGAGGTACTCGACTGTAGCGTTCTCCCTTGTTATCATTCGTTACTACCAGACCCTCACATCAGGTTTTCAATTCTGCGGCTATATATAGTAGTCGCCTTCGCACACTCTCCTGGTGCGCTTCTTCACTACGTGGACTGCCGTCTACAGTGATATTAATCATCAAGACAAAATCCCATTTACACCTTTTTAAAATCTTTAAAACAAGCGGGCGCTAGCCAGAAACAAACTATTTTTTCGGCCAATCGATAGGTGTTGATGACAGCCATGCATTTCGGTTACAATTTTTATTCTAGCACTAAAACTGTAGGAGCCACAGTTTTGGGCGTTTAAAATAACCGTGCGCTGCTCAATAATCTCTGGAATCCGCATGCTTTATCCCAAAATTCTAGCTTTTAGAGTTTCCGAGGTCTTAGAGTCCATACGGACGGTTTTGGGCGTTTTGTGGGAGTGGCAACATTTGTTTTGGTCTATCGATAGAATTGAAGATCAATACATTTCAGTTAAAATTCCTTTTACACTTCTGTCTGACAAAAAAAGTCGCAAGTACGATTTTACAAAATATTTTCAACTGTGGCCGTAACACGAGACTCTTAGTTTTATATGAGTAGTGTGTATAAAAATACAGTTTTTTTTTGTCAATGACAGACCCAGCCACAATGTTTTATAGAGTAGTACAAAATATAGTACTCAAAAATTATGAGAAAAGAACCAACCATTCGATAAACAGGCACAACTCGGGCTAAAGGTGGGGACAAGGGGAAGCACCAGCCGGCGATCGCAGATGGGAATCCGCAGGCACAAGACTCTTCAGCACATCTGAAGCAGGCAGGAACACACGGAGGAAATCATTTGGTCCTCATTGTCTACATTTTGCATATAGACCCGAGACACCCTACATTGGTGTAGAGCAGCATGTGCAATTATCAACATCTCAAAAGGAGTGGGCGCAGGTCCAGGTGCTGGTGGCAAGGGCAAGGGCAAGGGCAAGGGCGAATCTGACCTGGCTTCAAATTGATGCGGTGCGGGGAGCTGTTATGTGTGTTGCCATATATCCGCATTGCCGTAAGAAGTGGCGGTGGAGCGGCGACTGTTTGTTGTGTCTCTGCGAGGTTCGGTCTTACTGTTCGGGGTTTGGGGTTTGGGGTTCGGCGATCGGTGTTCTGTGGTTAGGTGCTATGCCTGCGGTTCGGCCCTGCACGACGCCGCGCATCTGATATGGGAATCTCACACTGCGGAGTGGAGTGAATTTGTTTGGCCTTTTGGATTGTGGGCATCGTACACCTATACCTATACCCAAGCACAGAAAGACTATCCTGAGCCCCAGCCTCAGCCTGAGCCTGAGCCTGAACCTCAGCCTGAGCTGCAGACTGAGACTGAGACTGGTGTGGAGCAAAGTGTGCACGTCACTAATTGCAAATTCGATGGATACACATAATCGTTTTTGCATTCTTAAGTAATTTGTAATAATTTCCTTAAGGGTCAGCGTCAGCGTATAAATCTCAGAGCGCATATAAGTCGCTAAAGGAAAAGAGAGGGCGAAGACGAGAGCCAGGGCAAAGAAGAATTTACGTAAACGCGACGATGATTCCGAACGTGAGGATGGGTACGAGGACGAGGCCAGACAAAGACGAAAACGATAATAATCGAAGAGCGAGGCAGAAGAAATTGAACTGAAATCAGCGCTTAATGATGAGTTACGAACGAACGAACCGTATTATACAATGCAATATGGTTATGGATTGTGGCAGGGGAAGTTTTTGAAAACCATGAGCAGCGTTTGTATTTATGTTAATTTGTATGCACGTGGGATTGAAACGAATACGTATTTTTGCATGCTTATACACACAGTATGAACGCATTCGTAAATATGTCTACGTATAACCGTACTCCTTTTAATTGATTGCTACCACCCACACAACAATTGACTAGCGAACACAAATTTGAACAAAGGGGAACAACAAATTTGATAAAAAAACCTTAATTTTCCTTTGGAATTGCGGAGGGTCAAACGTGGTTCTAGACACATAGTTTCTTGAGAAATATTGCTTAGAATTTAGAATTTAGTTTGTGTTTCACCCAAACGATATAGAACTTTTTTTGCTGCCATACCAATGTTCCAAATTCAGGGCTACTGAAACATTCAACAACAAAAAACCAGTATTTTTCTCTTGCAAATGCGAAGGGTCAGACCTGATTTGCAAGACATAGCTTACGTTCTTTCCCTACGAGTGATCACTTTTTTTTGCGCATACAAATCGACCAACCCTAACATGTATCTATATATCTTCCCCGGAAGGTTCACATTATTTTGAATTGTTTTATTCCCGGAAAACTTAAGTCGGCGAAGTCCTGACCGAAACAACTTTGAATAAGTCCGATAACCACGATTTTTAGTTCAAATGGAAAAAAAACAAGGAAGAACGCTATAGTCGAGTACCTCGACTATCAGATACCCGTTACTCAAAGGGAAATGGAGATATGCAAGCAGCAAAGCGAAATTAAAATGCGCCACCTACCGGCGGTAGACAGATTTAAGCGTTATGGGCGTTAGAGTGGGCGTGGCAAATGTATTTTTGGATCAATCGATAGGTATTGACACCAATACATTTCAGTTCAAATTTTTCATCTAGCATCCAAATTGTGGGCGTCACAGGTTTTCGCGGTTTGTGGGCGTTTAAGTGGGCGTGGCAAACTTTTTTTTAAGTCAATCGATAGGTATTGATGAGAACAATACATTTCATTTAAAATTTTCTATCTAGCATCAAAACTGTAGGAGTTTCAGTTTTGGGCGGTTTGTGGGCGTTAGAGTGAGCGTGGCAGTCTACTGAAACAAACTTGCGCTGCGTAAGAAGCTCAGGAATCTGTACGCCAAATCTCAATAGCCTAACTCTCATAGTTTCCGAGATCTCAGCGTTCATCCGGACAGACAGACGGACAGACGGACAGACGGTCAGACGGACAGACGGACAGACGGACAGACGGACATGGCTAGATCGACTCGGCTAGTGATCCTGATCAAGAATATATATACTTTATGGGGTCGGAAACGCTTCGTTCTGCCTGTTACATACTTTCCGACGAATCTAGTATACCCTTTTACTCTACGAGTAACGGGTATAAATATTTAGGTTAACCCAACGTGGACAAAAGTAAAAAAAACAAGGAAGAACGCTATAGTCGAGTACCTCGACTATCAGATACCCGTTACTCAGCTAAATAGAGATATGCAAGCAGCAAAGCGAGATTAAAATGCGCCACCTACCGGCGGTATACAGATTTAGAGTGGGCTTGTCAAATTTTTTTTTTGGATCAATCGATAGGTATTGACGAGACCAATACATTTCAGTTAAAATTTTTTATCTAGCATAAAAATTGTGGGCGTCACAGGTTTTTGCGGTTTATGGGCGTTAGAGTAGGCGTGGCATATTCGCGTAGCAAACTTGCGCTGCGTATAAGGCTACGGAATTTATATTTGAAATCCGAATTCTCTATCTTTGATAGTTTCCGAGATATCCACGTTCATATTTACGATTTTTTGAAGTTTGTGGGCGGTTTATGGGCGTTAGGGTGGGCGTGGCACACTTTTTTTGGGTCAATCGATAGGTATTGATGAGAACATTACATTTCAGTTAAAATTTTTATTCTAGCATCAAAACTGTAGGAGCCACAGTTTTGGGCGGTTTATGGGCGTTAGAGTGGGCGTGGCACTCTACTGAAACTGCGTAAGAAGCTCAGGAATCTGCACACCAAATCTCAATAGCCTAGCTCCCATAGTTTCCGAGATCTCAGCGTTCATCCGGACAGACAGACATGGCTAGATCGACTCGGCTAGTGATCCTGATCAAGAATATATATACTTTATGGGGTCGGAAACGCTTCCTTCTGCCTGTTACATACTTTCCGACGAATCTAGTATACCCTTTTACTCTACGAGTAACGGGTATAAACACCTCTTAACGAGGTAAAGGGTCGTGACAATCGCACCTTCAACATACAAAAAACAATAAAATTTTGTTATGAAAATTTTGTTATACATTCGACTAAATAAATACACTTCTTTAGATTTTATATCTTTTTTTTTGTGGAAGGTGCGATTGTCACTAGTTTTTTTGGTTTGATCAAATATAGCTTTTTAATTGATAACTCGAAGCCTTACTAAAGAATTTCATTATGCTCGGGCGTGTCACAGAAATCTCTTCGGGGAAAGTGTACGTAACCATCATTACAAGTATTTCACCCCGACTCACAAAGGACACAATTGTAGGGCAACAGGATAGCTTTATTCAAAATTGTCCTTAAAATTTTAAAATTTTTTTTTTTTTGTTTTTACGATTTTTTAAAAAATAAATAAAATTGATTAGAAATTTAAAAAAATTCGACAACACTAGTTACCACTGACCACGCCAGAGCCTGTTTAACTTAGTAATTCATAGCTTTTAAAATAATAATGGGATTGGTAAGATTCGCAGCATTTTAATAAGTATCTATCAATTAAATCAAAATCAATTTACGCTGAAAATATTCAAAGCCTGAGCGCCAGACGCACTTTAGCATTATGGGCGTTAGAATGGGCGTGGCACTTCGCTGAAACAAAATTGCATACATATCCTCATTTCTTACACTATTTTTGGCAAACGCAGTCTTAGTTATTATTATGCGGATTCTGTAACACAAGTAAGATTTTTATTACATTATATGGTTTTGCTGCAGTGGTGAAAACGTCTTGGCTTGCTGAAGTTAGCAAAACATCGAAACAATCCATTTTTTGCAGTATTTTTACAGAGTTAGGGTGGAAGTGGAACTTACGAGCTTGCGATGCGTAGGATCGCTAAGCTTTCAAAGTCTCCGAGATCTGAGCATTCAGACGGACCGACAGGGAGACGCACAGACAGAGAGGGCAGGGCTAGATCGTTTCGGCTGGAGATCTTGATAAAGAATATAAACACTATATAGGTAAGAACACGGTTCCTTCTACCTTCTAATAAATAAAACTTATATCCTGCTCTTTAATAAGTGATATGATAAAAAGTGTTGGAACATACCTTCGTTGTCCATGGTCCACTCTGTCACTCTAAACACCTCGTTTAGTGCGGGTATTTCCTGGTTTTCACTTCGACGCTGCAGGCAAATAAATTGCTCGATCTGCATATGCCGCATACCCTTTACATGCTGAACCATTTCATGCAGGTTCTTAGCGGTAAAGTTGCACAGCTGGCAAAGGAGCAATTTCTTGCTCGACTGCGATTGCTGATCCTCGTCCGGACAGGAGCACTGAGGATCATCTTCCATCGTACCTAGGGACTTCTTGTGCATTTGACTTTGCTGAACAATATACAGTAGGTGCTGGAATATCATTCGCATCGTGTCGTGACGCATCTGCTGTGTGTGCAGGGACAGCTTCTGAATAGAATTGGTATGGAAGTCGCAGCAGTTACACTTCACTTGCACCACATTTGCGGCCAGCTGTTGTTGATACTGCAGCTTATACTCATTACGGGGTCCGCCCTCCCTGATGTGGTTGATAAAGTTGAGCTTCTGCAAGTGCTTGTCTGTCTTGCTGTGCAGTTGGAAATTGGCCTTGAGATTCGTCTTGTAATTGCACAGCCGGCATATATAGTTGTTATTGTGAATAACCATTATTTCGGAAGAGGCGCTGGAGGATTGCCGAGATCTGTCTACGACCAAATGTTGGTTAAGATCGTCCAAGTTGTTCGTACTGAAGCAGTCGCAGATTAGACAGCTGTAGAAAGCAGTGGGCCACTTATCAGTTTTGGTCAGAGGATGAGGATCACCAGCCAGGTCGCCGGGTACTTCATTCGAGTGACTCATTCCCATTGGCATTCCTAGGCCCATGCCTACTCCTGCTCCGTGACCAATCTTCATTGGCTTGGGAGAGAAGCAAAACTGATCCGGAGTGCTCACAGGTGAACATGAGGGTGACAATTTGGTGTTAGCCGACTGCTGATGTTGTTGCTGTTGGTGAAGGAGCTGGATCATGAGCGCTTGGTTATACGCGAGATCGGCCAACGCAACCTCGGGCATAAAGCCCCCGGAGCTGTGGCCTTGAACGCTGCCAGCGGCACCCTGTTGCTGTTGCTGCAAGAAGTTGAACGCCTGGATGTGCTTGATGTTGTTTTGCAGCACAGCCATGTTGTGGGTGTGCTTCTCGCTGGTCATGTGGATGCGCAGGTTGCGGGCCACCGAAGTCTCGTAGCTGCAGATGTCGCACCGAAACGAGGGCTTTGGCTTGGCGCTGTTGGCATTGCTTCCGGTATTGGCACTAGGGTTACTTGCTCCCGTGCCGGCGGTCGGTGCGTTCGCACCCAGTGATGGGTTGCCGCCCACGTTGGTGGATCCGCCGCTGGAAGCGCTGCCAGTGGCTCCGCTGGATGCACTGCCGGGTGGGCCCGCAGCAGATCCTTGGGGCGACGAGCTGGAGAGCAGCAGTTTGCTAGTCGCAGCGGCAGCAGCCGCAGCCGCCACCATATTTTGAGAACTGTTCAGCTCCTGCATATTGTTCAGATGCTTATCCGATTGCATATGAATGGAAAGGTTACCCTTGGTGGTCGTGGAGTAGTTACAGATTTCACAGCGATACGGCTTGTAACCGCAGGAGTAGGATTCCCCCCGTGCCAGCCGAGGATGCTGCTGTCCTGTGCCGCAAGAACAATAGGATTAATTAAAACTGGTAACTGCTTCAAGGTATACAATGTTTAATTTATTTTTACGTAAGTTGAAGTTTGAACTCGAAAATCATTAATTACACAGAAATCAAAAAGTTAACTTTGTGAAATTTGCAGAAACCATATCTACTTTTCCATGATAATTGGATCTTCTGAGTAAAGGTCTCATACAAACTTTTTCGCCGTCACCTACAGGTTCCGCGATATAGATAAAAAAACGATATTTGCGCGCATATTCAATTATGTTGACTCCATAACTCGACTTATCTTAAATATTTTTGCTGAAGCACACTCTCAATATATAACGACAATGCTAAAAAATAGTCTCTATCGTGAACCATTGTCCACATCATTGGAATTTATCGACAAAGTTAAAATTCCTTAATTCCTATGATAGAAATCCGCCCCTAGAAAATAAGTCTTAAATGGAAGTAATTTTTATACCCTTGCAGAGGGTATATTGATTTCAGTCAAAAGGTCAGTCAACGCAGTGAAGGAGAAGTTTCCGACCCCATAAAGTATATATATTCTTGATCAGCATGACTAGTCGAGTCGATCTAGCCATGTCCGTCTGTCCGTCCGTTTCTACGCAAAGTCTTATTTCTTTTGCAGGTAGTATATAAGTCGGAACCAGCCGGATCGGACACCTATGTATATCTTAAAGCTCCCATGAAAATAAACGGAAAAAAAACTTTAAAAAAGTATATCTTTGGTGTTTTTTAACATATAACCTCGTAAGCTTGGAAATAACATTTTTTAATTAGTTTCGAATTCCGAACTAAATTTTTTTGACTTATTATCTTACACTTTTATGAATATCATGTTTTGTATTTTATAATTTAATAATTATAACTTCAAGGGTATACAATCTTCGGCTTGCCGAAGTTAACCCCCTTTCTTGTTAAAGTTGTATTATTATACCTGGTATTATGCTTAGCTATATCGCGAAACCTGTTGGTAATGGGACTTTTACTTAGGAGGATTCAATTATCCTTGAAAACTGGAAATGGTTCATATACATATTATAAGTTGAAGGTTACAAATTTGTTCTTTAACAGTATTCAGAAACTAAACTTTCAGATTCTAGTGATAAGATTCTCGCTTGTTAATAAAATTGGACACGCCCACACCAACATCTTCCGTTTTCAAAAAGTGTACCATCCTTTAATTTGATTAGAAAAGTGTTTCTAGTTTAATATATATATTGAACTGCACAACTGTTTATACAGACTGACCGACTGAGCGACATAGGTAGATGGACTCTGAAAGTTACTCTGCTCTCTGTGGAACCCCCTTATTAATTTGATTTTGAGAATTTTAAGAATTGTTTTTGTATATTTCTGAGAAATACATTTCTAAGGTTTCCAACCTCTTACATTTAAGTTTAGGCAAATTCTGGTTTAAGCCTGAACTAAAACTTTTTTGATAACAATTTGGTCACATAAAATTAAAATTTTAGAGATTCGAGTGTCCCGACTACAGACATCCCCACCTATAGACCTATCTCTACGGTTTATGTAATACAATTTTAATTCGATAAGGTTAGCTTTCTATCTTGTCGCAAATCGTACATCCAATAAAATTGACTTGAAATGGCAATGATTATTAGTTAAAAATTTTCTGAAATTCGATTGTCATGCGACAATACAAAAGTATGTTGTTCTTAGAGTCAATAAGCTAATACACAATATAAAATCTATTTTCTTTAGAGTTGATAAGACAAGTACCTGCAAGGCAATAACCACAGGCACTCTCCCCATCAGGATGCTTCTCCCGCATGTGAATCTCCAGTGTTTCCTGGTATTTATAGTGCCAATTGCATTGCGGACATTTAAGAGTCTTGCAGGAGTTGCGGGTAGACATTTGCACTCCGCTGTTTAATCGAGCTGAGTTTAGAAGCATTTCACAGCTGTGGAAAAAGAAATGTAAGCATGTAACAGAACCATTATTGAATATCGCTAAAAATTATAAACAAGAATAAAGATCAAGTGATGTTGGTTTGATTTGATTAGCGTACCATTTATTTACTCCTCACATTAATTTTTAGATGTGATTTATGTGTTCAATTTGAGCAACAACCGTTTTTACATTCATTAGTGTGTCACCGGCACCCAACAATGTGACGGCAAAATTTTAATGATACCGAACCCACAGTTGCTCGCCTCGACCCAAGCGACACCATTAAATTGTGACAATTGGGGACGGGACAGACGGCCAGAAACATTTATTAAGTGAAATCAGCGCAATTGGTTTAATTTTTGTTGGTTCAGCCGCCATCATTTTTCACCCTCCTGCAATATTTAACATGATTCTCCCTACAGATCATAGCAACATAACAAAGATTTCCAACAATCTGTTAATTGAAATATACAGGCGTATAATTTACACATGCATGGGATCGGACTCGAAAAGTGGCATGGTTGGAACTTATTAATAATGACAGATTCCTCAAATAGATGCTTACTTTTAAATTAAGCAGTATTTTTTGAACCTTTTTCATTTTCTCTTTGCAGGCATATAAACGGAGTGACACACCAGACGAGTACAACTTAATTAGCCGAAAACTATTTTATTGAAGGATAAACAAAACACTGATTATGATATTTTATTTGATACACTTTTGTTACCAATAACACAAGCAACAACATCTTTTCCATCTAGTTTGCCATAATATAAGGGATAACTCAAAAATTACGTAAAACTGGCTCAACAAATACTGTGATACAGCTGATCTCTTTTGACATTTGTTACAAAAACGTATTACGAATCTTGAAAAGTATATAACCTAACAAATGCCTAGGCAACTTTGACTTGGCAAAAAGTCTCCAAACATGTATTTGGGTACTAAAACGTCTCCACTGAGGCTTTACTCTGTTTAATAGGTTCACATTCCTCAAAATTTGTTGTGATATAATGCTGATTGACTGACTAACTGCATTATTAGAATGTGATCTCGCTCTCTTGGCTCCCGCCTTCTTGGGAGCATCATCATAAAAATGATAAGAGCTCTCATCAAAATGCGACGCAATAACGGACAAAAAAAGTAAAAAATCTTAAAATACACTGTCATTGACTATAAAATATTCTTTCCTCAGCTGGAGTGCTACCTTGCGTCAATTCCTTTATTTGCTCAAGAATGGTCTGATTTGGACAATTTTAGCATGAAGATATTTGTTGGTAATAAAAATAAAATTGCATTTACACTTTTACAATATCTTCAAAAATCTAGTCGCTGTACATGTTTTAGCGTGGGCGTATGGGCGATTGTGGGCGTTAGAGTGGGCGATGTTCTGTCCCAGAACCTCAAGGATCTACATGCCAAATCCGAACTCTAGCTTTTATATTTTCCGAGATCTCTGCGTTTATACGGACGGACAGGAAGACGGACATGGCTATATCGCCTCGGCTAGTGATCCTGATCAAGTTTATATAAATTTTATGTAGTCGGAAACGCCTTCACATCCAATAATTGAAATACAAATTTTCAAGTGTGTATTTAAAAATCGGAGCAAGGTAAGCCGTAATTTCCGATGACACGTCGTCTGGGAGCAAACATCGTCATTCAAGTGTGATGCAATCAGTGGGATCTAACTAACCGGACTGATTCCCATGCGAGTCCCAATAGTCATTTGCGTTTAAATGAACAGCCTGTGAACAGCTTGGCCTGTGGGCACAAATCATATAACCTATAGCTGCTGTCGTTGGCCTAATGACTTATTGTTCAGCAGTGGAAGGAAGTTTCCAGTTCCAGTTACAACTTCAAACAGCCTTAATAATTACGCATATTAGGGCGGTATGAACGACACGTAATCGCAACCCCTTCCAACAGATCAATATTTGCACCCTGTACTCGGTCTGCTACAGGCCTTAACGGCAACCCTTCACCAATCAGCCACAAGCCCCCTGCGGCAAGAACCATGTCCTTCGAAGCACATACATCCCCCGAACTTGGACAGAAACCCGAGCTGCTCCCCACTACGTTCAGAGTTAGTGCTTACCGTGCACAGTCCACTCCTTGGGGACGACCATTGATGTGCTCGGAACAGGCGCCGATTGTGAAGCTGGAAGTGGCGCTCGTGGCGTTGGCGCTGGCCACCGAGGAGGCACTGGGTGATATGGCCAGGCCAACACTGTTGCTGCACGGAGAACGATGTGGAATCTGCGGGGGCTGCGACTGGACCTGAAGCTGGGGCAAAGATTGGGAGAGGTGCTGGTGCGAAGAGGATGGTGATTTTGACCGCTGCTGGATGTCAAGAAGTTCGCAGGTTTTGCAGTCCACACCATTGAGGTCGGGATGATCGGGACACTGGCTGGGAAATAAGGAACTCTGCTGCTGATGTTGCTGCAGCTGCTGTTGGAGGAACTCTGTGATCAGCTTAACCCGGCTGTCATTTGATTCATTGGCGGCCAGCGCTGCTAAGGATGCATGGAAGGAACTGACTTGAGGAGGGTATATGCCACCAGCCGCCACGTGCTGAAGCTGCATCAAATCTGAGCAGGGGACATCCGATTCGTTTGTTTGAGGTGATGCAGACATAGAGCCCATCTTCATTTCGACCTCCGAAGACGAGGAAGACGGCGGCTCTGTTCCTTGGTTACAATTGGTTGACTTATTGATACTTATATTATCAGTACTGGGTAATGAGACCTCTCCGGATGCGAATGCCGATGTAGGGGAACTGGTTGAGGATACTTTTGATAGGTTATTAGTCTTTGCTGTTGCTGAGTTTAAGGAACCAAATTTCACAGTAGGTTTTACTGCTACTTTAGGCGATGATAATGGGAGATATGCACTAGGTGCCGCCATTTTACTACTACTAGAGTCCTGATCAGCTTCATGGTCCTGCTCCCGGACCTGCTCAGCCTCCTGCTTATTCTCGAGCTCCAGTTCAGACTCATTACCGAAAACTGGCTGCGGAGACGGAGTAAGAGTGGGGCAGCTGCCCTCAGGGGCTACTTGAAGCTTCTCGGTGTCATCGCTGGCAGCACAGGCAGCATTATTATCCAAGGGCTGTAGAAAGGATATCTGCGGCTTTTCATCCATATTTCGCTGAATAATGGCACTGGAGTACTCGCGATTAAGTAGCTGCTGGTCCAGCTCTTCCAGGTTGAGTCTGTGTTCACTGTTCGCATGCAAGCTAAAGGACTTAACGTTGCCAAAGGACAACTTGCATATAAAACACATTAAAATTGGTTTTTGGATTTTGAATGCTCTGATTTGATCCTGGCAAGCTGAGTTTGCATCTTGCGCGGACACAACACGAAAGGAATGGATTTTTGGACTCGATTTGTAGGTTGCCCCTGCCAAGGTTTCGACACCAGGACCAGCATCCACATCAGCTAGTTCCTGCTCCTGTGTTTCGCTTTGATCTTGATAATGTTGATGCTGGTGTTCTTTTTCGTCCTCCACCTGTACACGATCTTTGACCCTTAAGAGTTTTTTTAGTGAAGTCGAAGTTGAGGCATAACAACTTTTGACAGACCCCGATCCACTTCCATTGGCATTGTCTGTGGCGATAATATATGCACTGCCATCGAGATTGTAAACTATTTTGCCGTTAAAAGTTTCCACATCAGAACTGGACATTGGAGAGCCGTCGTCATTACCATTATTGGAGCTGAAAATGAATTAAAAATACGTTATAAATATTTTAGAATTTTAAATCAAATTTTTAAAAAATCGGAAAACTATGTGTATTATATATTTCTATAAAAACGGTCAGAAAATAAATGTGAAAATAATATAATACCTGACAGAACGCTACAGGCGATGCCACCGACTATCAAATATCCGTTACTCAGCTAAAGAGAGTGCGAGAGGGATGGAGATATGCATGCTTGAGGCTAGCGCCACCTAGTCCATAGCGCCCCCAGTGGCTTGGTCGCGTATTAGTGAAAACAGATGCATGTGGTGTGCAATCTCGTTTGAATTGCAAAATATAGACTGTTACTTGGTTATAATTTTTTAATGAATGGTTAGATTTCAACATTTTTTTTGCATATAGATGGGTATTGATAATAGGAACAAAACCTTTAAAACCTTTTAAATTATTCAAAAATATTAGAATTAGAATTAGAATATTAGAATTTGGGTGCTATACGGGTACTAGCGTTATGGGTATTTGTGGGCGCTAGAGTTAGCGTGGCAACGTTCTGAAACAAACCTTCGCTGCGCAAGAAGCTTAATAATCTACATGCCAAGTCCCAACATTCTAGCTTTTATAGTCTCGGAGATCGGCTAGATCGGCTCAATCAAGAATTTATATACATTATGGGTCGGAAACGCCTCCTTCACTGCGTTGCAACTTCTGACTGAAATCATAATACCCTCTGCAAGGGTATAATAATATAAAAACAAGGAAGAACGCTATAGCCGAGTACCCCGACTATCAGATACCCGTTACTCAGCTAAAGGGACCAAACGGAAATGGAGATATGCAAGCAGCAAAGCGAGATTAAAATGCGCAACCTACCGACGGTAGACAGATTTAAACGTTATGGGCGTTAGAGTGGGCGTGGCAAATTTATTTTGGATCAACCGATAGTTATTGACTAGACCAATACATTTCAGATAAAATTTTTTATCTAGCATGAAAATTGTGGGCGTCACTGGTTTGGGCGGCTTGTGGGCTTTAAAGTAGGCGTGGCAAACTTTTATAGAGTCAATCGATAGGTATTGATGAGAACAATACATTTCAGTTAAAATTTTTATTATAGCGTCAAAACTGTAGGAGCCAGTTTTGGGCGGTTTGTGAGCGTTAGAGTGGGCGTGGCACATTGCTGAAGCGTAAGAAGCTCAGGAATCACCAAATCTCATAGCCTAGCTCTTATAGTTTCCGAGATCTCAGCGTTCAACCGGACGGACAGACAGACGGACAGACGGACATGGCTAGATCGACTCGGCTAGTGATCCTGATCAAGAATATATATACTTTATGGGGTCGGAAAAGCTTCCTTCTGCCTGTTACATACTTTCCGACGAATCTAGTATACCCTTTTACTCTACGAGTAACGGGTATAAAAATATGAAACAAATTATAGCTTCCGTGTTTTTTGACATAATATCGTATACTATTGGGAATATCATTTTATGTACTTCTAGGAATTTCGAATTAAATTTAATAAAAATCGGACGACTCTGACATGTAGCTGTTAAAGAAATAATGAAATAATTATTTTTTTAAAAATGTTTGCTTGTTGATTTAGATCGTAATTTCTTTTACTCTGGGATATAGAACACTTTAACTTTTCAGCATTACGAATTTAATTTTACACAAATATCACTGAAGCTAGCAGCGATCCTTAAAAATTTAACATGGTGTTACTAAGATTGTTTATTTCTTATAACTGCAAGGGTATACAAACTTCGGCTTGCCGAAGTTAACTTCCTTTCTTGTTTAAATTGAAACCTTTTTGTGTGTCTGTCGGTTTGTCTGTTTGGAAGGTCAATTTTATACCCGTTACTCATAGATTAAAAGTGCATGATGTATGTCCATTCCGACCCATGCCGCTAGAAAATTGAAATTAGGCATGCAGAATCTAGAGATTCTTGCGCAGGCAAGTTTATTTCAGCAGGGTGCCTCGTCCACTCTAAGGCCCACAAAAGCCTATAATAAAGGTTTAGTCCTAAGTTTTGTTCTGTTTTAATTGTCTATAACCATCAACATGCAAACAATTTATGAAATCGAATCATACATAAAAAAAAAGGTATACAAATATAAATGAATCGACCATATTTCATCAGAGTAACTCCCACAAACTCTTATATTAAACTGTTAGTCCTAAACTTTGTTTTGTTTTAATTGTCTATATCTATCTACACGCAAAAAAATGTTGGAATCGGACCATCCATTTAAAATGCATAAACATATAAATTAAACGACCCTAGATGACGTAGTGTGTAATCCTAAAAGCAGTTGCTTTGCTGCTAGCATATCTCCATCTCCCTCGCACTCCCCTGAGCTGGCTGATAGTATCTGAAAGTCGAGCCCATCGACCATAGTGCCTCTCTTGCTACTTAACAGCTAACCAGATTTTGGCTACACAGTTATATTTAAAATTTACAACTAGCAACGCTTAGGAAACCTATATTTAATCAGCTGTCCTGCGAGGATCGACTGTCCCGTCACATCTTATACGCTTACTTTACAAAATTATTGTCTCGTTTGGAATGGTGTAGGCATTAATAGAAAAGTTCACTGCCTTATGGCTTTGCACAAAACAAAGGAAGTCAAGGTTTTCCTGCTGTCATCCCCACACCCCCGATCCGCATCCGTCCCTTCTTTGATTCGTTCGGACTATTCGCGCGTGCCTTTTCGTTGTATGTCTTTATTTCTCTGGAGTCGTCGTTATCTGTTCTTCATATTCCTCAACTGGTTTCACTCAGTCGCCTTCGCAGGCTTTTGCTTATGCTTATGTAGCCAGTACACCCACATACAAATTCCGTGATATATCAGCCACCACCATCGAGTGGCATGCGGCCCAGGCGGCCCAGGCCCAGCCCGGTGGTGCTTCGTTTTGATTCTGCCTGCGAGTTCGACTGCAGTCTTGGGTTTTGACTCTGGTTTCGGCTGTGCTTTCAGTTGAGGTTACAGTTGAGTTGGTATGCAAACAACTCTTGACGTACTGAAACCAGGACCAGGTCTAAGCCGCGCATTTTTCCATTGCACCTTTAGCTTATAGGATCATTTTTTGTTCTTTCTTTTCAGGAATGCAAATGGCGCGGTTGCAAAGGCGACTCGCGAAGTAAACTTACTTTTGCCTCAGTTGTAAGCTTAATATACAACAAGACCACTCTGCCTGTAATTTCATTTTGTTTATTACTATTGAGCTTCCAACAATCCAATATAATGTGCTCAAAAATGTCAATACAATTTTTTTAAGGAAATAAATTTGATTTGAAAACTAGAAAGGAAGCTAACTTTACCAAGCCGATGTTAATATACTCCTGTGGCTTCAACCATATCGCACAACTGAAATCATATCTACACTTACACAAAAGTAGCACTTTTTTAGGTAACACATGGCCAAAAAATTGTTGTTGTTACTCGTGTGTAAAAGGGTATACTAGATCCGTCGAAAAGTATGTAATAAGTAGAAGATAGCGTATAAAGTATATATATTTTTGATCAGTATCGATAGTCGAGTAGATCTAGCCATGTAGGTCTGTCCGTCCGTATGAAGGCTAAGATCTTGGAAACTATAAAAGCTAAAAAGTGCGATTGGCATATCGACCCTTAAGGTTCCGCAAGTTTGTACCACGTCCACTATAACGCCCACAAACAAATGGTTTTAATTTAATTTAAATCAGATTATGTTTTGATTCTCAATGTCCATCTACCAACCCATTGTTTAATTCGGACCATATATTAAAAGTTATAAGCAGTTATAAGCATTGCTACCTGTATATCTCTATCTCCCTCACACTCCCCTTAGCTGAGTAGCGTCCTCTCTTGATAATAATACATTTTTAGTTTTAGGTTATGGCTTCACTAGAAATATCAATAAGGTTACTGTTGTCCTACTTTAAAGAGTAATAATGGACTAAATTTTCATGCCAATGATTACTTTAAAGCAGTGCCCACTGGCCCGACTCGCGAGTCTGGGAGTCCTCTGCCGGCGCTCTTACCACTTCACCGACACTGTAAACGGTAGTGTGGCTTTGTCCGGCGTCTTCGGTTCACGCAAACAAATGGAAGTCTTACGTTTTATTGTATTTGTGTTGTCACCACTCCTTTAAATTTAGTTCATGTGTCCTAAAAATTCTTAAAATAAAATTCGCTTGTTCCCCCAGAAGCAGGCTTTGAGTTTGCCACGGTGCCTCCATGTAGTCTGTAGGCGATCGGACTCTCGCGATTCCCACCCACCTAAAAATACTCCTATTTTTTTCTGGTACAGCGCCAAAAATGTGCTCTGGAATTTTATTTTAAAATTGGTCAACAGACAAAATAGTTTCTTGTTTTATAGGAGTGCGATTGTCACTAGCTTTTTAGCTCGCTTAGTGTTGCTTTTATTTGACATTTAGTTACAACAATTTTTTAATATCCGTAATATTTATAAAAATAAAGAAATTATGAGGAACATGTGTATAAAACAAATTTAGCTTATTGACTTTTTTTGTCGGTGTTATAATCTTTTTCTTTGCAACTACAGTCGATAACAGTAGGGACACTTCGATAAAATGGTATTTTGTACATCTACATTTAATATTTCCCCATAACTGCTAAAGTGATTTTTTATCCCAGTTTTTTTTACCAAGTCTTAGTTTTTATAATGGACAACAGAAACATACACACACTAAAATCGTTTGGTAAAGTTGACCAATATAACAGTAAATCGGTCCCCAACCATCAAATTGTCAGTTTAACCCATCAAATAGTTACATTTTAAAGGAAATTGAACAAGGAAGATCGCTATAGTCGAGTACCTCGACTATCAGATACCCTTTACTCAGCTAAATAGAGATATGCAAGTAGCAAAGCGAGATTAAAATGCGCCACCTACCGGCGGTATACAGATTTAAGCGTTATGGGCGTTAGAGTGGGCGTGGCAAATTTTTTTTTGGACCAATCGATAGGTATTGACGAG